ACGGCAGCTGAACTGGCAGAGGATGGACAGACAAGCGTTGAAGAGAACGCACCTGGACAAATGCGGTAAACAGACCTGGCGGCTGGGATGAGGATGAAGTGGCATATCTCTCAAGAGCTGCGGTTTGGCCGGGAGTTGGAGTGTGGCATTTAAGTGCAGTCTTCTTGTCCCAGCTTACTTCTGAAGCAGCAAAGCAACATTAGTGAGGAATGGTTGAAACGCGGTGAAGAGTCGTGGTCATCTGAAGGCGCTGTGCTCCTCATCTGTAGGGACTGTCATCCCTGAGGCATTTCTCTGTGTGTCTGAAAGTGTTAGAAACTTAGAAGTGGTGAACGCACCCCCAGTGGGCTTTAAGAGCATGTAGGAGATTCGGTGTTATTTTCCCCTTCTCAAACCCCAATCCAGCGTGGAGATGCCTAAGAGACTCTCCAGGTGGTGGCCCATGGGGAGACTGCATAGAGGGAAGATTTTGACTCTAAGAAGGAAGGCAAGGTCTGGGAATTAAGAGCCGGAGCCCTGCAAAGTTTAGCTGTTCGTCCAAAGTGGAGTGGGCCAGCAGAGGTGAGAGCTCCGTGCTGGGTACTGAGAACCTCGCCCTCCCCAACCACCCCCTGCCCGTCTCGGTTCTCAGACACTGAGGGCCATGGGAACTGGAAGATGTTTTTTTTCCTGAGGAATCTAGACAGCCCAGGATGAAAGAAAGACCTAAGTACATTGTTATAGAAAATGGCCCCAGGGGAAGCAAGCAGCCAGATGGCTCTGTTCTCAAGACTGGACCACAGGCTGCAACTGGAACCAGTGCTCTGCCATTCTGCCTCAGAGCAACCCTTTAAACAAAGGAGCCAAGCACGGGAGACGGCTGCTCCTGAGCACGGAGACTAAAGAAGACGGGGTGGGGGGAATGGGGGGAGTGGGAATAAGACGTTTTTAAAAGCTATTCTTGCTTCCTCGGAGATGGAGGGAAGCAGAGCAGACAAAGAAGTGTTATTTCTTTTTAAAATTTTTAATTGTGTGTCTATGGGTATTCTGTCTGCATGCACGTCTGTGCGCAAATCTGTCTGGTACCCACCGAGACCAGAAGAGAGTGTTGGGCCCCTGGAAATGGAGTCACAGTTTTTACAGACGTGCCATGCCTCTGCTGGGAATTGAAGACCATGGACAAACAGAGGAGAACTTGGGAACAGCAAGGCCGCAGTAGCCGCGTCACCCGTGAGCCTGTCTGGGGAGACCTCCATGTTTTCACTCTGTTTCCACAGCACATCTGGCTCTCCCAAAAGGAATTCTAATCACCTTCCCGTCCAGAGGGTGGGAGGTCATGAACAGAGCGCGGTCCCAGTCTCTGAGTCACCTTTTTCTGCAGTCACATCAAACCCAGTGGCTGACCACAGATGCAGAGGGGGCACAGACATAAGGACCTGCAGGGCTGAGCCGGCCCAGTTCCCCAGCTCGGAGAAGCGTCCTTTAGGGTGTCAACAAAAAATAAATGTGGCGGAGGTTCTAGTATGATGAGAGGCGTGTATAACTTAATTAGTGCAAATCAGTGTAGTAAAAGAGGATGCTTTTTTCAGTGTAGACTCACTAATGGAAGGAGTAAGGTTTCCTCCTGAGGCAGCATTCTGCTTGCTTGTAATTCAGGGTTCATCATGCCATCACCTGAGTTGCCAGGGCCTTATATGCCGGTAGGCTTCTGAGTTGATGGAGCCTAATGGCTAGCATGTCCAGAACCTCCGTGTCCTGTTACCTCCTTTTGGCACTCACTACAGTACAGGTTAATTACTCCAAAGGCAAGATGGCCTCCGAGGCTGCCGCACAGCAGCACATGGATTTCGAGAGACGAACGTCTCCTTTCACTCCATCTGTGTCTGGATCACAGAGTGTAGAAAACCCTTTGGAACCATAGTTTTACACGTTTAAGTCTGTGTTGACACACAGGAACGTAAGTACACCGAATACCTGATTCTTCACGCTTGCATGTAGCTGGGCAGGCGAGACGTTCTACACGGTGACGATTTTACTTCGACTGCCTTGGTCTACTGATAGGGAAACTGAACTGGGGCCGTGTACATGCTCTGCCGCTGGGCCACCCCACAGCTCCTTTTTTGTATTTCAAGGCAACGTTTCACCGCATCTTTTCAGATGGGCCTTGAATTTGTTTTGTAGCCCAGGCTGGCCTTGAACTTGCCCCCCCCCCCCCCGATTGAGGCACTCAAGTGTCTGTTACTTTTATTTTTAATAGTGTCATAAGCCCACATGTAATTACAGTGGGCTCGGCTGCCTTGGTCCATGTATATATTGTACATTAAATCAAGGTATATGGCATATTCCTCACATATTTTACATTTATCATTATTGTTTTGAAAGATTCTGTATACTATATTGTTTGTGGTCATCCCCCTGTGCCTGCCATAGGACACCAGAACTCTCTTTTCTTGAAAACACCTTTGCATACATCGATTAGTCTCTTTCCATACCGTGTGTGTGTGTGTGTGTGTGTGTGCGCGCGCGCGCGTGCACTCTTGCACACGCACATGTGAAACTAATCCCAGAAATTATGAAAAGAAAAGAAAAAGTAGCTCACTATTTTGGAGGTTGAAAAATCTAGGAAACATGGTATTGTCATCTGTTTCCAGGCCTCCTTCGCTGGGTCACTCCAGGCTTGCGGCAGAACAACGGGAATTGTGTAAAAAAGCAAAGCACATTGTGAGACAAGAAATGAGTTCAGAGATGGGTCCTGTAAGAACTAACACAGCCCACTAGAACAAGATAGTCCCTTCTAGAACTCCCTCCATCTGGCCCCTCCCCTCAATGCAACAGCAGCCACTAAATCTCTCCTACATGGACACTGTTCTAGACCTTGCACACCCCACCTACCACGCTGAAACATTTGTGTTTCTATGTATTAAGAGAGTGAAAAAAATCTAACTTGGGGCAAATGCATTGTGTCTGCATTCCTTACTTGGCTGGGTGTGGACCCAAGCTGGCCCTGGTCCACAGGAAAGGCAGTGAGAAATCACCCATACTTTTCCTCCCTCCGTGGATAATTAAGGGTGAGTTTGGAGAGCGCTGTGGGGGAGATCAGGGAGATGCTGACTTCAGGGAGACGCTAGGATGACTGGGCAGTTGACCAAGCCTGTGTTTGCCCAACCCACACAGCAGGAATGTAAGCCAGTGCACTAGGTTACTGGGAGCTCTGGGCCAGGTCTCTAATGCGTGGCTTGAGCGATGAGCATCCAGGGTCTTTGATGTCTGCCTGGCTTTTCCTCTCCCCCTCCCAACACTCCCACAAGAACTGTCAGACAAACTGATCTGTAACAGGCATCCGGTGTCCGGCAAGCACCTCTCAGGCCACACCCTGGCTTCTCTTTCCTAGCAACTCCTAAACTTAGGGCCAATAGCACTGGAGTCTTTTGAAATCTCTTGTTACTACAGTGTTGTTTCTGTTTCTCTCTGTGCATGCCCTGTTTGTATGGGTAAATTACTGCTCGTCAAGAGAAGGGAATAGGGGACCCCAGCATCTGGATCTATGTCTTAGCCATACTACTGGAAACTTAGCAGATAATTTGACAAGTGGACACATGAGCAGAAGGCGGCTGGCCACAGATGAGAACTCCGTGGCATCTGAAATATGATCCTTGCCTCTTATTAAGACGTACTAAAGATTCACTTCCCCATGCCTTCCTGCAACCATGTGTAACTTTTAAAATAATAATTATGTTCAATATGTGTAGAAATAAAAAATGAAGCATGCATTTGCCCCCCCCCAAAAAAAAACCATAAGATAAATATGGTTTACTAAGTAAGAACTGGTAAAAAAAAACAAAAAAAAAATAAGTCATTATGCAGCAGTATAAAGGAATATAAATCACACTACAAAAGAGTAGAAGAGCCTAAGGACATGTTCAGAGCCTGTTTCAGATACGATCTTGCAGAAATAGTAAATACCCCTGCACAGTGTGATCTTAGCTCTCTGCGTCCAGCTTCCTCCCTCCTCTGCCCCTTATTCTGTGTGCACGCTTGGGTGTTTGCACATTTGGATGTTTATAGGTTTACACGCATGTGTTGTTTACATGTGTGCACATATGTCACCGTATGCTTTCCTGCATTCTACAAAACTTCTACAGTGAATAGACTTGTAGTAACAGTGCACCATTGTTTTATACTTCTGGGCCATGCACGCATATCTAAACTGAGAGAAAACTCGAAGAGACCTTACAGCCGGAAGAACCCTCCAGAAGCAAAAGCAAAGGAAATACTCCAATGGTGTCGCCCCATAGGAAAGGCCCTGTATCTGTGGATGGACGGGCGTGAAGTAACTGTGGTCTGTAGTGTTCATGTCAGTGAAGCACTATTATTTTATTGACTTTTAATTTAAAATGCAGGCGTGAAGTACTATATTTGCAGAACGTATTGTTGCTTTCCGAGAAGTCTCGATCGAAATATTAGCTGCGCACCCCATTTCTGGTTATCCGCTGTTCTGAAATCCCTTGGGTTTCTGATACCCAACTCAATAAGGCAGTGAGTTGCTCCTTCCTCTCTAGAGTTCTCATTTCAAATGGCAGCTGACAGGATGGAGTTTTACCTGGTGTCTAGCTCTCAGCATCTTGACCTGGCTTGGGGACCAAGCTGTCCATAAAACTTACTACCACATTTGATGACTTTTGTGGCAGAATCGGACGTGAGTGAAGCTGCTGGAGTTCAGGCTATTCTTGAGTTTGTGTGGAGACAGAAGACAGGAAGGCAGTCGGAGGGAAACCAGGAGTAACAGGTTGCCGAGGAGTCAAGTGGCATCTGTTAGGCTCACCACCTCCCTCAGTAAATGTCTAATTCCATTTCCCCTCTCCTGAAGCCTCTAACAGTTACCAAAAGCCGTTCCAGGGGTGCATTGCAGGCTAAAGATTGGCCTGGGACAGATTTACCCGCACCCCGAAAGGCCATGCAAGTGGCACAGGTGTGTCTTTATGGTGTGTGCCGTACTGACCGAGCTTTCTAACCCCAAACAGGAAGCTGTCAAAGCAGCCATCGTAGAGGAGCAGAAGAGAAGCGAAAAGGCCATGGAGGAGGCCGTAAAGAGAACGAGAGATGAGCTGGTGGACTACGTGAAGGAGCAGAGACGGGTAAGTGACCTCACAGATTCCCCGGGGCCTTGCCACCTCTGTGACAGCACAAGCCCCCACACCCGAGGTGGTGTCGAGATACCGGAAAACACTGCTCTTAGTGTAAAATCCGTGATCTCCCTGGAAGGTTGTCTTCCTGAATAATTAACATATCCAACGGCTATCCGTGTAAATTCCCATCACACGCTGCATACGTCAGGCATGTAAGCAAAGCATGCCTGTTGCATACTTACCACAGTGATTGCAACCCCCATTTAACAGCTCTTTCTTGCGCCGAACATTATTTATCAGAGGAAGCTTTTGTGAGCATATGCAGGCGCCTGCTGGCATCAGCGGGATCCACAGACACATAGAGACCCTCTGAAGTCTACAGCTACCTGCTGAATGAACACACACACACACACACACACACACACACACACACACCTACCTCGTCTGGGGGACGCAGCAAGAAACCGCCCCTCCCCCCCAGGCCTGTGAGTCTGACCACTCCGTACCCCAGTGTGACTCAGCTTCCTTCTCTCCCCTAGCAGGGTGTCCTCTAGGCTCCTGGGTGGGTCCCTGCCCTCCTCAAGGCTGAGTGGTATGTTGCCTGTGCATATTGTCTTCTTTCGTCTGTTGATAGATGTTTGGTTGGTTTCTACATACTTGACATAATTTCCTGAATCATCCAACCTGTATTTGAGGTGTAAATCTGCACAGACATGAAGACAAAGCAAATTTATAAGATCATTTTGGCTTTTGTTTGTTTGTTTGTTTTCTCAAAGCTGTATCACTTTTCTGTCAAAGGGTATCATGTGGCTTCCATTAAAAACATCTGATAAGAGGAGGAATGGCTTCTTTAGGGTCATCCGACCCCTGTATGTCAATGTCTCAAAAAAGCTAATTTGACCTGTGTCCCTCCATACCTGTTTGTTTGTGAGAAGCAGCCTGATTGGACGATGTGTAAAGTTCATTGAGAACAGTGACAATGAAATCGGGACAGAATGCGGCCCCATTTGCTCCATCCGATTCTTCCAGCATTCTTCCTTGCCTGTTGGTGTTATTACTTGGGACGCCCCCATTGTAGTCCCGAGTCAGTGATAGCATACGGCAAGCAGCTGCAGAAAGGGCACACAACCTGGGCCTGGCCAGTATCTGTTTTGAGCGCTGTCTTCAGCACGTTAATAAAAGTGGCCGGAAGCCACCTGTGGGTGGGTGGGTTTTGCTGATTGAGATAAACGTTCAGATTAGTGTCCGTGCTGTTATTTACATTGTGACTTCTGAAACCTTACCCCACCCCCGTTACTGATTTCCCAGGAGATCACGGCCCTGTTAGCATAGAAAAGTTACCCCTTGCTGTTGTATTGGTGACACTATTGGGAAACGTTCGGGTGTCTGGGTATTTTGTCTTCCCAAAGAGAAAAGCCACCTTTGAAAATACTCAAAGTGAAAGCAACAATTGCTAACACCTCTCTTTATGTCACTCCTGAAACTTTTAGATTCTTAATTCTGTGTTCCCGTCTTCCTCTAAAATAATATATTTACTGTTCAAGCTAACCTTAATGTATTGTCTAGGGACTCAGAAGATGTTTGGAAAGAAAAGTACACCCAGCACTTATAAGCTGACTTAGAGGAAATGTTTTTCATTTTGTTTTGTTTTTAGCAAATTCCTATTAATTATTCCTGTCTCTTTAAAAAAAAAAAAAAAAAAAAAAAACTTAAATTGGAACAACTCATCTCCTCTTCTTTGTTTGACCAAATACACATTTTCAGGATAAAAATTTCCCTTTCTTTAGCTCTTTTTTTTTTTTTTTTTTTAACCCTACATCAAGCTTAAAATTTTCAACTCAGACACCTCAGAAGCCTCGTAGACCTTGGTTCCAGCTGGCCTAGCATTCCAGTGTATAGAATGGCGTCGGAACTTTGAGACGTCTTTGCTGGAAGAAGTCTGCTGTGGAGCCTTGCTCTGTGGGCCCTTCAGCATCATCGGACCTTTCCCAAAGCCCTGAACGTTTGAAACGAACACTTCTCCACCCCACGTTTCCCCGTATGCTTTTACGTGTAAAGGACTGGGAGATATGGAATGGTAGGCTCAGAGTGCTGACTTAATAACTTAAAACTTTTCCCCGTAATGTAAAATACAGGCCACCATAAGAGGTAATGGCTTTTTCTAAGCGTCTAGTTAAGAATTTTCATGATTAATCAGAAAAATGATGTTTAAGAATTATTATAAATAAATATCCAGCCCAGTCATATTTTTTTTTAAAAAAACAAATTCCTCTGCAAAACCTGCCCGTCTAAGGCAAAGGGAAAAATGTAAATTTGGGGTTGATTTTTAGTATAGCCCTCCAGAAGTTTTCCATAGCATCTACAAGTTGTCTACTGATGTGGGCTTAACTACCTGTGATTACACAACAGGGTAAGCCTGCGAAGTTTAAGCCGGATGTCCCACCCTGAGACCTGGCCGTGTGCTCCAGGCACAGTGACCGGCATCCACGCTGTGCCCTACTGCACTGTAATTGTGCTGTCAGACTCTTGCAGGGCCTGCAGTGCTAGATCAGGGGACGCTTGAAGTCCCAGGCTCACCCAGCCTTGCTTCACGCTGAGGCAGCCGAGTGGAGCACCTGCCATATGTCATCATCTTATTTCCTTATTTTCAGTGTAAAGGAAAAGACTTCTTGGACTGAAAAGCTCTTGGTAATGGCTTGGTCCATTTGATTTATCATGTTGTCATTTTTTTGATCATGTGTATCTCTACAAACATTCCTTTCCTTTGAAGAATTAGCAACAATAATAACAACAACAACAGCTGTAGCTAATACTGTTTGGAAACATCCTGGGAATGCCCTTCTCTGAGAGAGGCGGTGTCTCTCCTCTCCTTTAGAGACAGAACTGCCTTCCTCTCAACCAATTTTCTGCTCAGCCCTGAAGGAAGGCTAGACTGTGGAGAGAGAGACAGAGATGGAACATTGCTCTTCTCTTATCGCTGTATTATTTGAGTAAAGTCCATTGGATTGGGGGGCATAGCATTCAGTCTGCCTTTGCCATCGACCGAGATTTCAGACTACTTTTTGTTGTTTCTTAGGCAGGGAGTTCTAACTGGATAGTCAGGGTGGTAATTCTGAGGCACTAGTCTGCTGCTGGGGTTTCTTGTCTCCCCCCCCCCCCCAGGTCCCACAGCCTCTTCAGCACCAAATGAACACGCAGAGACCTACATTAATTGTAAATTGTTGGCTGATGGCTAGGACTTCTTACTGGCTAGCTCTCTCGTAATTATTAACCCATTTCCGTTAATCTAAATATTTCCACGTGGTCTCATCTTACCTGAGAAGGGTCCGGACCTGTTGCTCCTTTGTGGTCTACATGCGTCTCTCCCTGTCTACCTTTCCCAGAATTCTCATCTCCTGCCTGTCTCCCTGCCTCTATTGGCCAGTGTTTTATACATCAGCCAATAAGAGGAACACATATGCAGAAAGACATCCCCATCAGTCATCAACTCTGGGGCTGTGGTGCCCTGTGCTGTAAGGAGTTAATTTTTCCTCTGAGACTCTGTATTTGATATAATTCTGTTGGCCAGTTACTTGTTTCTTATCAGCTAGCTCTGTCTTAAGTATTAACGCATTTCTGTTAATCTATGTATTTCCACGTGGTCTCATCTTACCAGAGAGCCGGCTGGCGTCCTGCTCTCCCCAGACTCTCCATCTTGACTTCTCCTTACTACTTCCTCGAATTCTCCTTGTCTCCTAGTCCCACCTCTCTTCCTTCCCTATTGGCCAACAGTGCTTTATTCATTAACCAGTATGAGAAACATATATACAGAATGGCATCTCCCATCACTGTGCAGCTCTGTCTGCCTGTGGGTATTTCTCATCCCTGGGTCCTTGTACTGTGACTTCTGCATTTTCCTCCCTCATTGCCCGCCGGTTCAGTCGTGATTCCATGAAAGTCTACCATCCTCTTCCGTGTGCTTCAAGCCTGGTACTCACATCGCTTTACATCCTGTAACCTGTAAACTCGCTGTGTGAGCTTGTGTGCGCCATGTGCACGAATGTGCCTACGGTGACCAAAAGAGAGTGTGCCAGATGCTCCCGGAAGTGGAGTTGCAGATGGTGAGCCGCCCAGCGTGGATGTTGGGAACTACACCCAGGTCCTGAGCTGTCTGTCCTGGCCCTAAAACTAACGTACTGTAAATCTACCTATGCCTCAGAGAAGTCCACCTAAGGTGAAGTTGCTGTGGCCCATTTGGAAATTGCACACACACACACACACACACACACACACACTCATATTCTCATTGAAGTTTTGAGAATAAATGCGGGAGGAAGATAAGCTGATGCATGCACAGACATTTCTATCAAGGATTCGGGTGTTCCGGTGGGACTTTTACCACACCAAGGAAGTGCTACTGGTCCAGCCGCCCTTCCAAGCCCCACTAATGCCCCTTGTGAACTGCAAACCCTATTTTGCACCCTCATTCTGTGTCTCCCAAAGCTCAATTACTTTCCAACACCCTCAGCAATAAAAGGGGGTCCCTTGACCCCTCAAGTCACGCCTCTCACGCTGAAGTGTCAGAATCATGCTCCAAAAGACACAAAAGAGCCAAACACAAACCCTTTCTTGGACCTCCCCCATGAAGGGACAGGGTATGATTCCCTCAGCACCAGCATCTCTGGTTTTCACCTCCAGGTAAGAAGGCTACAGTGTTGTGCCCTGGGATCTGGTGCGACTAAGCTCCACTGTGAAACACTATAGTTCGGCAGCCCTAAGATAAAAAACGCTTCCATGTGTTCTGAGAGATGAGCTCTGGAGGGCTATGTGCTCCCTGTTTACGGAGTGCATGCAAAACGTTTGCCCTCTTAACCTCCTGTGCTGGGTGCCAAGCTTTGGTATAGGACTGGCACCTGAGTCATTGTGTAGCCAAGCAACCCATTGATCCCTCCCCTTAAGAACCCACAGCTTTCTCTGGAAATGACTAAAATCTGCCCCGGACCGTGCTGGGCTCAGAGTGCAGCAAATCA